TTTTAAGATTTAGTGATCAAGATGAAAGGAAATCACCTTGCACATCCTGGCATCATCCTTGGCAAAGCCGCTCTGTGGTGCACTCAACTGGCAGGCTGTTGAGTATGAGCCTCCTACAGCCCAACCCTGTCCTCTCAGCATTGAGGGTTTGGAAATGTGGTGATGAACCAACGCTACAGTTAATTAATGACAGTTTAATAATGAATCACAGGTATAAAGATGGCCTGTATCTTTTAAAAAGGAGAGGTGCTTATCACGTTGTGGACATGTTTCAAGCCCCATTTTGTGCATACATGGTGTTTATAAGTGAGGCCTTGAAGAATAATGGAAAATTCCATCTTCTTCTTCTTTCTTTTTTTTTTTTTAGAAAAGCATACATATAATATGTATGTTCCTTCAGGGGAGTTTGAGCACCACCAGGGGAAACGTGGTGGGCGTTCCAGTAGAGCATCTATCACTTTTCCAGCAACCCATTTGAAAGCTTTGCGGTTTAAGAGGATTCGCTCTCATTTAATTAGGGCACAATGAGTGACACAAGGATTCCCAACATTTCTGCTGATGGTGGCAGTGGGATACGAAAGGACTAAAGCTCAAATCTTCTAGCCTGGACATACAGCATTTGTTACATGTCTGTTGGTCGATGAAGATGGATCCCTTCTCTGTTGCTCTTCCTTAGGATTATCTGCTTTTTCTGTTTTTTGTTTTGTTTTTTGTTGCACATTAATGTAACACCATGAACTTCCTTGTGTGGATCTGCCCTCTCAGCAGGTTTTCACCCTGCCTTTAAGTGTGGCTGCTCAAACAGCAAACATTTTGCCTCTGACCTTGTCAGATGGGGCGACTGTGGTTCAGTGGGTAGAGCAGTCGTCTCCCAGCCGAAGGGTTGGGGGCACCGAATCACGGTGCCTGCAGTCCACATGCTGAAATGTCCTTGGGTAAGACACTGAACCTCCGAGTTTCCCTTGATGATTAGAGCCATCGGTGTGAGTTGGCGCCGCAAATGGCTGCCTCGGTTCTGTCCCTTGTGTGTACTTGTCCAAATAAAGGTGATTATTATTATTATTATTATGATACATCGTCCGTTTGACTACATTACTCATAACCCCATCAATGGCTTCCTCACTGGAGAATCTCAGTAGCCACCAGTAGAGGACTGGTTATAACAGGTGTCTCCCAGTTGCAAATTTGTGAGGTGGAGGTTTTATGGGGTCCAATATTTTGGACTGGATCCAAGACAAACCCTCGAATGAATAATGTGACACTGACACTTTCAGTAGAATGTTGCTCCACCATTAATGTGTTCAGAAAGAACAACATTATCTCATTTTCCCTGAGCTTCACACTTTTCCTTACCGGACATATTGACACCCCCAGGTGATCCTGTCTCAGATAATCATCAAGTTGCCCCATGATGATTTGTATTATGAGCAGTTTTGTGTCCCCAAAAAAGTTTGTGTCATCAGGAAAACAGCTGCTGAATGGATGCTTTCATGACCATAATTCAGTGACTGTTTTGGAAGTTTGTCACAAGCATTAATGTTTAACCTGAAACAGCTGCGACAGAAGAACATACTGTACAACTAGTGATGTAAACAGTGTCAGCTTTGTCATCAAAACCTCTCTTTGATTCACTATCAGGCAAACATGGGTCATCTTCAGTCAGCAGGTTTTACCCTGTCTCCAAACTGAGAGGCTCTTGATGATTCCCTTTTAAAAATGTTTCATTTTGCTTTGCCTACACAACTGGCTTTGTGCCTCCTCTTGGAACTCTGAACCACATCACCACAGAGCAGCCACTGCAGTGCATGAGCTGAGCCCCCTCCATATATGTAAGTGATTGCTGACCTAATTTATGAAGGGAATGAAAAATAAAGTCTGCATTGCAATAAAATGAAAAAAAGAGAGAAATCTAATTTATTTGGGCTGCCTCAAGTCAGCACACTTTGCCACCAACATCCCACCCCAAACACACACACACACACACACACACACACATATAGATCTTATTTTTCTGCTTTTGCAGTTTTCCTCCTCTTTTCCAATCTGGGAAGCCTGGGAGGCCCATCTTTAGGGGGTGCTAGGTGCTTTTTTAATGGTATCAAGGTGTTTCTGGAGGGGGGCCAGCCCTGGGCCCCTGGCTCTGGTCTAGAAATGCCTCCACGTTTGCAAACAAACTGGCTCTTGCTCTCCCTGTTTGCCTTTGTGGCTTTATCTTTTTTTCCAGGCCTGTACGGGCCAGCACACAGCAGGAGGCACTGACTTGTTGATCGCCTTCACAGAGCAGCTCATAAACCCAGTAAGCATGAATGTGGGGACCTGTGTGTGTGTGTGTGCACACGCTGACATTGTTTGTGTACTTCAGAGCAGCTCTGGACATTTTTCTCTATTTAACCTAGAGGGTGTTGTGGAAGTGCACAACCAAATAATTATTAACTGTTAAATAACGAGAGCGAGGCACAAGGAGCTAACATATCCTTTAAGTCAAGTTTCAGGATAAATAAGAAATTACAGCTGGATTGTGCCGCAGTGTTTGTCTGTTTCTGTTTATGGATGTTGCTTAGAAACTTTACTAAATCACAGTGTTCAACATGTGGCATCTGTCTCACCCTCTCTCACCAACTCCTTTCCTTTCTCGCTCACCCTCACGCCGTTTGTAAACAGGGAAGCGGAATACATGGCCTCATTGTTTTGCATCATTATTACTGACAGGCCTAAATCACTTGAATGATGGGAAGCCCTCATACAAAATTAACCCGGCCCAGCGTGTTTACCCTGCCTAAATCATGTTGTTCACTGGCTTGAAACCGAAGAAGAAGGGGGAAAATAATCCTCACATCCTGACATCTGCAAAGCACCTGTCGTGAACTGTGCATGCTAGCTGGGCCACAGCACATGCAAATAGCTATCTCCCCTCATTTTACTCTCTGGCCTTGAAAAACACCATGACCATCATGTGCTTTAACAGCTGGCAACCACCTCCGTGTGTTTTCCTGTCTCCAATAAGACTGTGCATTGTATCTGTTTAGGATGAGGTCATGTTGTTGATATTTTTAAACATATTTTAAGGCTATTAAATGGTAAAAACTGTGACGGCTCTGTCTTTCTTTAGCGTTAGAAACTTGCTGCATACAGAACCGAGCGGGTTAAAATCACAGGGACATTCCTTATTCTTTGCTATCCTACTAGCTACAGTAGGTTGTAAACATTAGCCAGCCGGCAGGTCACCCTCTGTCTGCTAAAAGAATAAAACAATGGCCAAGTCAAGCAGAGTCTGTTCTTAAGATAATAAGAGAAGAGAGAATAAAATAAACATTTTAGAAATCCTAGACTCATCTTTAGCCTCATTTAGCATATTAAAAAAACCACCATGTCTTATTGCTTAATTTTTAATTGGACCTTCAGATATTTCTTCATTGTGTTTTTCTATTAAAAACTGAAAATAATCAGCCTTAATGTGATTAAAAAGTTGTAACAAGTGTTCTTCATACATCTTTAAACCCAGGCCTACCAACTGTAGCACTTTTCCATTAATGTGACTGCACAGTTTGACTGCTGGCGTCTCTTGCTGAAAGGCAGCAGTGCTTTAGTGTCGTAGTAGGTATATATTAATACACATAGTGCGAAACATGTCCACTGTGAAGGGACAGTGCAACATACATGACAGTTACATGTAAAAAGTAACAGCTTGCATGTCATGCAGCGCAGTGCAGCTGTAGATGGAAGGGCAGTGGGCAGCGGCGCTTTGGTCCTGTGAACAATTTTAGAGGACCCACACTGCTCTACATCCCTGCTTTCACTGTTTCCCTGCTGCATCACATGACTGCCTGTCCCACTGACCTCCCACCAGACGTTATCAGTGGCTATACAGGCAAATAGTTTCCTGCAAGTCTCTTGCTGAAGGGAGTCATGTAAGCTGCCTTGGCTCAGAACAAAGTTGAGCTTCTAGGAGGGAAGGAGGGTGGCACAGCTAGGAAAGGTGCCTGGCCTTCATCAGCCATCACCACCGATTCGGAAGTGAGTCACTCCTCTGGCGTGTGCATGTGAATGTCTCCCAAAGGTTGCCTGCTCTGACTGCAGCACTTCTCCATTTTAGCCGTTGCATAATTCCATCAGAGCTGTAGTAAAGAGGCTGCAGGAGGACTACTGTATGTACACTTCAGACATGGCAGATCAGAAATGCTGGTTAAACAGACATTTCTCAAAGAAAGAACTAATCTGGAGGCAGAAATAATCCTCTTAGTTGAGTTAAACCTTAAAGGGCCAAGGTCAAGGATGCCAGGATTTCTACCTACAGTAAGTATTGTTACAGTGCAGTTTGCAGTTCAGTTAAAGAAACAGGAGGCAAACTTCTAAAACTTATTCCAAAATGGAGCTTAGCTGATTTAGAAAATTGACCTCCTATATGTTAAAGTACTGTTTTATATGTGTATATATATTTTAGCATAAGTAAATGTCTACTTATCAAATTTTTGACTATCAGCACCATCTGAACTGTAAAATGTGTCCACCGTTACATCTTATGCTCATTTTAAGACCCCCTTAAACTCTACTTGCACCTATTTCGATATGATGCATCTGCACATTTTCTATAATATTAGTAATTTGATGATATACTTCAGTCATGTGGCTGATTGTCTTCTCTAGAGCATTCAGCTTCCTCTTATTAATCATCTATCTTTACATGGCCAGAGGGTTTCTAAGGAATTTAATATATTTAATTTGTGCAACAAAATGAGAAAACACTGAAGCCGATGGGTTTATAATGTTGTTACTTCCAGAGAGCATTCGATGCTGACTTGTGGGATGATTGTTATGGACTTTTGATGTGTTTAAGATAAATGATTTCTTAGAGATACTGGTCTAAAATTGTAACACAGACAAGGGTCTCTCATTGAAGTCGATCAGCCTCGATTTGTGGCTGCTCCCATGATTCACTGGTGTCTAGTGGTTTGGACTGTGCTGCCAGACAGTTGAATATCTGTGTCTGCTTCCTGTCCTAGATAACGGCAGTATGCAGAGAGGCTGCCCTCCTGGCCCTACAACAGAACATCAAAGCTCAGTCCATTGAGGCCAGACACTTTGAAAGTGCCCTGAACACTGTGAAGCCCCGGATCCCCGACTCTCTCATCCAGTTGTATATCAGCTATCAGCAGCAACACACCGGCCTGTGCTTTTTCTGACCACACTCCTACGTACTAAGGAGGTTGTTCTCTTTATAATTCTACTACTACTTTAATAGTGCAGGCTTCCACCTGCCCCAGTCTGCTGGACAGGTGGCTAACATGATAAGAAACTGACACACCATGCTGACTTTGGCTAAAAGCAAGGATTTCTCTTTTGTAGCTACTGTGAAACGAACTGTTGATGGGGTTTATAGTTTACAGCTAGTAGGGGAAAAATGTGCTAACCGGTTTGGAGTCCACAATCCAACATGCCAAACTTTGTTTCCCAGAATGGCTTTAATTATATGTATAGTTTTTAAGTCTGCTGAAGTGTCATGTTTGATCATGTAAAATACTGGCAATGTATTAAATGCATTATTTCTGTATTCACTGTCTTTGGTTGCCTGGTGTTTTTTAGCAACATTATAGAAAAAGAAAGGTCACAAATAAACGCTGGTGAGATTTAAACCCGAGGTTCCAGCGGAAAAGTCTGTAAAATAAACATGTGTAACTCAAAACTGTCACTTCCAGCTAACAGTGGTAAACGCATTCTATTTCAGTGCAAAAATTAATTTAGCTGTGGACATGTTTTGACTGGATTCAAAGACTTCCCCTGCATGTGTTTGTTTTCACTCACTTCCCACCCTGTACATCCAGGGGAGGTCCATTTTCTGCATGTTGTCAGTGCCACTTTGTGTCATTTGCGAGTTAGTATATTTGTCTAAACGTTTTCCTTACGGGATTTGGACTGGCTGTACAGTCAAATCATGGGTTTTTAAATGTTTTCAGACAGACAGATTAGACTTTAGCCCCACAGATGGCAAGAAAGGAAAAAATGGAAAGCTGATTTTAAACAAGTTTTATAACTGATTATGCTGTTAAGTGAGAACCAGAATGTTTCCTGTGGGCCCCACACTAACATCTGTGGATTCAAATATTAGACTTGTATCTGGGGATCTTCTGGACCCCCTTCAAGGGCCCTTATGGTTCCTAGACCAATAGTTAGGGGAACCGCGGCTCTGTATCCACGGGGAGAAAAACAGCGGCAGCTGGTAAATTCATCACATCCATCCGTGGAAAATCTGCTAATTGCTGTAATCCGGAGATTTCCGACCACTAAGTGCAGGGAAGCAGGCGGCCATCTGATGGCCTAGAAGGATTTAGTTTATCACCAGCAAGAAGCTGGATATTAATACCCATATTAAAACTTAAGTGTTACTGCGCAACAGAATCACTTTAAAAGCCTGAAACACTAACAGGGCTTTTTCCAATTCCTTTTTTAAGCATCTGCTGACCCGAAGTGGCACTGGGGGTCACTCGTCTATTGATTTTTCCATCTGAATGGGGTAAATTGACTTTGTATTGAACTTCCTTTTCTCGTTGATCCGGATGTAGCGCATCCGCGACACCAATCAAACCAGACAGTCAGGAACAGAGGGGAAGGGGGTGGCAGGAGCGAGGGGTATCCTTTCTCTCCTGGCTGCAGGGCTGCTTTTTTTCTTAAGGTGGACCAAACTTCCCAACCGCCACCTCCACTGCTCAAAAATCCTGCCCTTTGAAACTCATGGGATGAGTTATATCAGTCATACAAGTTGCAGACTCATCACCACGCATTTTACTTCCTCTGATGACATGGGTAAGTGCGTAATGGGACCATTCCAGAGAGGAGAGGAGACATCCTGTTGATGTTTTCTTCCCGAATTGTCTGAAAAATCATGCACTTGTCTGTGCAGACAGTTGTTACCATAATTGGGGTTTCGGCACCACAGTGGGTCTTTCCGTGTAGTCCAAGTTGAGTTTACTTAACTTTTAGGATTCTAGCAGAAAGTGAAGATGCGTGGCTGTCAGTTAAGCAGCAGCAGATCCCATGTCATTGTTAACTTTGTCTCAGAATATCGTTTCTTGTTAAAGAGTCTTGAAAGTCATCAGACCCCTGTGAAGGAACCACCCTTCATTAAATTCATCTAAATCCTAGATCTCACGTTCTTTCTTTCGTCTTAGTCAGTTTGAGGTTTCCTAACAATTATTTATTAGATGGTTCATGAGTTTTAGTTTTTCTTTGTTATACATTAAACATGAGTGGATATGCCTATGTGATATGTTTCTGTGGCCAATAGAAGATTAAATTAGGCTTTTATTTGAGTTCCCTGTATGCGTGGCCTCGCTACCAAAAAATTACTAGTCAGCTAGAATATAAATAAAAGGCCCGTTTATTACACTACATTGAGTCACATCCAACATTATTCATAACCCACAAGTACGGAAAATAGTAGTAGTTTCCTTCCCTGAGCCCCCTCATCGCAGCCAACCCAAAATAAAAACCCGTTCCACCTTAAGTGGAGCGCATATCTCTCTCGCCCGGCCATTGGCCATCTACATCTGCCCAATGAATCAGGAGCGGATGCGATGTATCCTTTTTCAGTGGAGTGAATGGCCAATGGGAGTTGGCTTATCGAGCAAACACTGAACCCCGCGTTTCCATTCATTCAGTGCTGAACAGGCCTGTGGAGCTGGAGAGAGCGCATCACCGCCTGCGACCTGACCAAGCTTTCTGCCCGAGAGCGCAGCTTCCCTGTGACAGCCAGAACGCAAGCTCAACTTTCTGCAGAAGCTCGAAGAGGAGGGGCTCTCGGATATATGCTGAATCGGCTTTGATTTGATTTCCCCAAAAACGTCTTTGCGCTGTTTCAATTTTACAGCAGTTCCTAAGGGACTTCTATAACTGGGTTGTCCTGCTTAAAGATCGGGCTCCAAGTGCGCAGCAGCTCTCCGAGTGCCTTCTCTCCCACATCAGAGCTCCGCCGTGGATTTACTTCGTGGGGTCCTGGGACGAATGCATGAGCAACCCGCACTGAGCTTTTCTTTAAAACTAACCAAGGAAAGGGAATAACACGAAGGGATACACTCGCACTGGGATTATCAGGACATTGCATTTTCCTTTTAGATGGAGTTTCTGTAGGCTGGTTGATGGATTCGGCGTCATGGATGGTTGCATATAGGTACGTCTCCGCTTTACTATTTTACAGGTTTTGCTTTTCATTTCGGTTTTACTGTAGACTATTTGTTGCCCGATAGAAGCGTGCGTAGCGGCCCAGTATGCCCTGCAGCAGTGATATAAATGTTGTGTCACAGTGGTGCACAAAGCCAAAGACTCCGTGTTATTTTCTTATTAGGTGATTAAACTGATGGATTTCCTTGGCCGTGCCTTCCACGTAGCCGTGGCAAAACCCCTCCCCCATGGCGGTGGTTTTCATTCATAAGTTTTTGAGATGTAATATCTGTTGATCTCCGGCAGTGTCGGTTATAGGCTTGTATTACTGTGCACGACGTCTTCTCATTTAAAGACCCTCAGTGTGGATCATCATATTTATAGTGCGCTCCTTGACGCGTAAACCGTTAAAAACAATAAGTTTGTTGATTTGCGAAGCGCAACTGGATGGGTTTATCCTCGGCTGCAGCGTTTCACCATGTGAGCTTTGGTGCGTGCTTCGCGGGCCAGCCAGGCTTTACGTCTGTGCAAATTGTAGATTTTGGCCTCGGGCACAGGACGGCGTCGCTTCATAACATCCCCGAAGGCTCCAACCCACATTGCTCGTGGTACTTCTGGCATAAACACAATTATTAGGCAAATGATTTGCCTCGAATAAACTTCCCAAACCTGCGTCTTGCTGTAGTGTGAAGTAAAGTCGTAATGCGACAACTTTAAAGCGCTCACTTCGTTTTTAAACTGAAGTCATTTTGTCAGAACTTGATCTGACTTTAGCTTTTTCTCTACTTATCCCACCCCCTACCCCCTCCAAAGTCCTTTTTGGTGTAGTAATAGAATACTAAGTGAGGCAGCTCATTTAGTTCCTTGGATCGTGTCCTCATTTCGCCGCTGCTGTGCATTTAAATGTTAACTAGTCATACAAATGGAAATGAAGTAGGGCCTACCGAAGTTTAGATGTGTGTCTCCTGGGGAAGAAGGTACAAAAAGTCTTTTTAATAATCAACTTTTTCCTCGTGTTGTGTCACTTAACAGGATCAAAAGTGTCATATTGTCATGTTGACAGGATGAAGACAGTCTGGACTGCCACTGAATGCACCTCGAATATTACAATAGTTGCTTATTTGCTTCAAGTTATAATGAATGTTTAAAATTCCTATATTTACTGCTGCGTAATGGTTATTGGGTTATTTTTTTAGCAATAGTTTGGCTTTCACAGGTTCTGAAGATGAACTGGCCTGGGGATTTTGTTAACCCACTACCATCAGTGTGTGTTAACCAGTTATGCCATGTTTTGATGATGTCCTCTTCCTCCCTGCCTCTTCTTTGTCTTTCCCTGGCCCCTACCCACTACGCCCTCCCCAGCAGGTTTTCCGATGCATGCCAAGTCCACGGTGAATGTCGGAAGTGGTGATCCCCCCAGATGGAGCTCCAAAGTCAACATGGCCCTGGTGGTTCATTAGTGGTGATCCAGCAGCCTTCCCTTGAGAGCCGGCAGAGATCGGATTATGAGCGGGAGCTCCAGCATGCTGCCATTCTCTCCCTGGACCAAATCAAGGCAATCCGCTCCAGCAACGAGTATACCGAGGGGCCCTCAGTGGTACGGAGGCCCCCTGCACCCCGTATGGCCCTCCGGCCTCAGGACAAGCAGGAGAGGACTCACGAGGTCATCCTTGTCAATGTGAACAACAATTATGAGCACCAGCCATCCAGTCACCACCATCATGTGGGAGGTGGTGTGGTGGTTGTGGCCGGGGGGCAGCAGTACAGTGGGTCCCGGGCACCTGGGCTCAGCCGCTCCACAAGCACAGGAAGTGCCGCCAGTTCAGGGAGCAACAGCAGTGCTTCCTCTGAGCAGGGACTCTTGGCACGCTCACCCCCAACCAGGCCCAGCATGAGCTTACAGCACCACCGCAGAGCAGAGCAGCCTGTTCGGACTCAGCCCAAGCCCAAGGCCCCCCTACAGCCCCAGCAGGGACCTCACCAGCCTCCACTAGAGGCTCCGCTCAAGCCCCAGAGCAAAGGGAAACCAGACTTTTCTGGCCCTGGCAACAGTGTTGTGGCTGCTGCTGGGCACCAGTTCATCTGTGAGCGCTGTGGGAAGTGCAAGTGTAGCGACTGCACGGCTCCCAGGAGCCTGCCTTCATGTCTGGCATGTAACGGCCAGTGCCTCTGCTCTGCTGAGAGTGCGCTGGAGCATGGCACATGCATGTGCCTGGTTAAGGGCATTTTCTACCACTGCTCCAATGACGATGAGGGGGACTCGTGTGCTGACCACCCCTGCTCCCTGTCACGTTCCCATTGCTGCTCTCGTTTTCTGTGCATGGGATTAATGTCGGTACTCTTCCCCTGTCTGCTATGCTACCCACCTGTCAAGGGGTGTCTGAAGGCATGCCAGGCCTGCTACGATCGGGTTAACAGGCCCGGCTGTCGCTGCAAGAACTCCAACACTGTCTATTGCAAACTGGAGAACTGGGCCCCACAGACCCAGGAGAAACCTTCCTGAACGCCCGTTTGTTTGTGATTGTGCGTGCATGGGAGACTTGATGTTGATTGTATGATGACAATGGTAATGATAATGATGATGATAGTCACAAATTAATGTTTATCAAACGTTATAAGCACCTCCCACCAGCCTTCCCTCCTGCCTGCCGAACCCTAAGGAGCTAAGCAAGGGAGTAATGAAAACCACTCGAATGTTTTTATTTTTTCTGGATCAGGACCGTTTTTACAGACCAGTGTTTGCCTTAACTGTTTCTATGTCTATCCTCAACTTCTCATTAACACTATATATATATCTATCTATCTATATATATATAGATATATATGTGTATATATAGATATATATGTGTATATATATATATATATGAGAAAGATATTTTCTTCCGTTTTAGGTAGGCCGTTTCCTCTGGGTCTGTATCCCCAATGAGAAGCTGCCTTTTACCAAGTCTGTGAAGGACGATCTACTATAGGGCAATTATGTAGCTATTACCTGGTATTCATAGCAAGCAGGTATATTTGAATTTATTGGTTGCTACCACACTAAAACCGTGGTTCCCGTGCTCATGTTGCATTAACAAAAGCACATCCATCTCATAGTATTTGTTTCTCCACTTGGATATGTTTCTCTCCTTCCATCCATCTGAACTTTTCATACAAATTTTGTGGCTGTCTCCCTTTTTTTGTGTGTAAATTGTATGTTCAAAATCCATAAGAGGAATTCTGGCTATTTTTTTGAAAAGAAAAATGTCTGTTAAAACATTTTTTGTTGTAAAAAATATTTATTATGTGAAGCTCTATTATTTTATGATATTTATTGCAAGAGACAGTCTTAAATTTACTCATGTCTGAATATAACAAAATATCAAATACTTACTGAAAAATTAAAGGGTGGCACAAAAGAAAACTATGTTAACTTTAATGCAGAAAATATATTAATTAATGAAAAAATAGCACTGTCTGGTGTCTTGATTGAGTTATAGAGACTGATGGTTGATTCTAAGGGGATACAGTTTTTTTTGTTGTTGTTCAGTTTTCACTTCACTGGTGAGCAGCAAATCACAGTTTTCCATGTGTGTGCACGATCATGCTGGGTGTGGAATTCCTGGTAAAAATGTTCACTAGTGAGGACAAACAGCTTGTAGCTCGAAATGTGACTGTTTACATTCTTTGAAGGATTTTTTTTGCTGAGATTCTCCTTGGTAACCTTGAAAACTAAACAATACCGGTCGTTGACACACATAGCCCCCGAAGCTGTTAGCATCAACAAAGTCCCCCCCGTTTCAATCAAGTTATGCTCACAGGAAGTAATTCTCCTTCTAAAGCCACCACTGCACTCACCAGCCAACATGTCAGCACAAAACTATGCACTGTAGTTTATTCCCTGGGCTTTAACGCGCCTAGGTCAGGATGTTCCCAAACTCCCAAATGGTCTGCATATTGCAGAGCCCAGCAGTGCATGCCCTGAGAAATGAAAGCGAGCATTACAAGTAGTCAGGGCCACCTGTTCAAAGATAATAAACCAGGGCTATCAGTGCTGGGCTTTTATGACAATGACAGGGGCAAATCCAGCCCCCAGCCTGACCCACACTCACCCGTTTGGCCACATCTTTTTGTCAGTGAATTTATCACTTGGGAAGTTCTTCTGACTGTCCCACCCCCACTACTGACACCCACCCACCCCTCCACCTCTGGGCCCCCAGGGGATGAGATCATCACTTTGAAAGTTGGTTGGTCAGCCAGAAATGCCAACAGTTTGGGAAACTGCTACCAGGAAATTCTCTGGGACAAAGGAAAATATATAGTGCCTTAGGTTTGGAAAGCTGCAGCAGTGGAAATAAAACAACACAGCTGTGTCTGTAATCAGCTACATGTGATAGTGGTGCCCGCAGGTGCTACACACAGCAGGTCTGGGATGCTGAGCTTCAGTTGATGAACCTCTTGATTTAACACGGTGTAAGTTAAAGCTGCAGCAGTTTTGATGAGCAACAGATTAGAAAAGAAGCTAATGGTAAACACAAAGGAAGTGCCTTGTTGGCTTTGTCACTGGGCTGACCAGGCACTCACTTAGACTGACTAGCATGTGGTCTTATTCCAGTTTGTCAGCATTTTACTTTAACTGAACTGTTCCTCCAAATGGGCCTACTGTACCTAATGTTCT